CTTTTCTTGTAACAAGTTTTCCGGCTCTGGTTTACCAGGGAAGAGGCGGCTCTCGCAGTCTCCCCATGTTGACCAGATGTGTGAGACAACATCTGGGTGAAGGTCTGTCTGCAGAACCTTCATATAACTTCATATGTGCTTTAATTGTGAACATGTTCAGCAAGTGTATGCTCAGTGATGGGGGGGGGCGTCAGAGAGGCTCGTTTAATTGTATTGACTGTTTGAAGAATGACATATCAGAGTGCCATTGCTGGTATTTATCACCTCAAAGAAAGAACCGAAGGACTTTGAGTCACGTTATCATGTAAAAACGGTGTCTACGGCTGCAGTATTTGTAGCCTGGGGTCTTCACAAGAGTGAATAGAGGTGCATAGTTTGAGCGTGAGATGGACTCGTTGCTCTCTCCGTGTCGGCCACAGAAATCAGGCTCGGGTGCCAGAAGCATTACACACCTCTCATAACAATGTCCTCGCAGGAACCCAACGTGGCTTTCCAGACAGGAGCTGCCAGTCCTGCTCCTTGCGTGCTGGTGAGCTGTAGGTTCCTGTCTGGTTTCTACCTGAAACACCAGATAGTGCCTTGCAGACAGAATGCTGTCAAACACCTAAGCCAGCTCGTCCGCCTGTCCTCTCAAACTCTGTGGATGTCCCAGGTTGCAGTTCCACATCCAGCTTTCGCTTCCTGCAAACTGAGAAACCAGCTACTCTTCAGTGGTGTGGCTATTACAGAGCAGACTAAATAAAGCATCAAAGTGGAGGGCCTCTGTGCAGCCCCCCCCCCCCCCCCCCCCCCTCCAAGCAGCCTGGTCTGGAGCTTGGCGCCCCCCACGTGGCTTTCGGCCGTCTGTCCAGATCCTCAATAATTCATGAGTCTCCGGTGCTGGAGGAAATCCCAGCTTCCACAGGCTGCTTCTGAGACGGACTTAAAAACCTAATGAGCGGCTAATGAAGGTCGTGCTTAATTAAATCGTAAGTAGGTCTGCACAATATTGTAAATATTTCAAATCACATGTGAATTTTTTGCAATAATATATAAAACAAAAAAGGAGTTGAAAATACCCAAAATAAATTCTATTTGACTTATAGGTTATCTACTCTAGAGTCTGTGATAAGTTGATGGTGTTGCAGCCAGTTAAGACACAAAGCAGTGCCGACAAATCACTTGTTTTTTCTGAATATCGTCTCTATGTCTTTAGGCGACCAATTCTTGTTTGCTTTTCGTCTTCTCACCCATTTTGTGAAATTATTCACAAACTGATGGTGACTGAGTAAGTCCAAAAGCAAGGGATGATGGTCTTTTAGAGCAAAAGCTGTGGCATTAAATGTTAAGCTGATTTTTTTTTTTTTTTTTTTACTGTATACTACATAATCTTGAAATGAAATAATTGCAAAGCTTGCCAAGTTTTGTTTCCTATGATAGAGTAAAAATGTTTTAGTGACACCTATTGATCTCCACTCCAGCAAATTTTATCAGCGCAATTTCAAAGTACTGGAGTGATGCTTTTGAAAATACTGTTAATTCCATGGTAAAATATTCCAACAGTATAATGGTATGAAAAATAAGATGCTGCTTAAGCTTAATCTCAAGCCATCTGACTGTCACGGTGCTTGCAATGTGACAATCGCATGTGCTTAACATCCAATGTCGATATTAACATTGCACGTTCGGCAGGCCTAATCCCAAGTATGTTAGCTACGGTTTGTGGGGGCTTTTCCCCTGCCTGTGCCTTTAGTCCAGTTTCACTTTTAGGTTGCCCAACTCTATTTTATTTCCCAGAAACTTGGAATGGTTTCACAGAACTGCAATTAAAGAAACAACATGGGATTTTTTTTATTGGGGGATGTTTTACACAGAAAGAAGAAGCTTTGCTTTCATTTATGACACTGGAAGTTTCAAGGTCTTGGAAATTTCTCTGAAAAGGGGAAGTTAACCCCGCAGCAAGACTGCATCAGTCGTTAATATGTGAAGGCTGGATCTGCAGTGACTCGTACGCTTGGCTCACTGCTCTTGCTCCTCTGGATTGTAAATTTGCACTGCATGCCCTACACTTGCATGATTCGGGATTACCCAACACAGGTTTGGACACGGACATCTGTTACTTGGTTGTTAGTGGGTTGGAGGCACACCTCCATTGTTAAAGGTCCTCTTCCCTTTGAGACCGCTTCACCGCATTTCCTGCAGAGCCGGTTGCGTCATTCCGACTAACCTGAGCGGATCGAGAGCGGCGACTATAATCTGATAGCAATGTGGTTTTGCTGGTCCGCATCTGGCTCTTTAGAGTACGCGCTGTTCTTACCGGGCCAATTTGCTAATTTTAGGGCTGGTGATTGTCAGTCTTGACATGTGGAAGATTGAGATTATGATCAGATCTGTCTTGGCTGTGGGAAAGGTGTCTTCATCCTGCTGCAGCTATTATTGCTGTAACGTCTAGACCCTAAGCAGATGCTTCGTTTTCTGTTTAAATGGACATCTGATGTTGACTCATTTCCTACTGACTAATATTATATCCTGGGCCGACCAAAAGAAAAAGAAGAGAAAGAAAGAAAAATGGCAGGGCGGCCAGCGTGTGTTGACAAGCCGTAGCCAAGAGGGGTTCTGTCAGGGTGGTCAGAGTGGAGGATGGTCACTTTCAGGAGGATCAGGCTCATTGTCGATGGAAAACAAAGCAGATGCTGCTTGAGTACCCGTGAGGTGGTCGCTATGCCTTCTGAGGAACGCCATCCATTGTCTTGTCATCTAACACGGTTTATGTATAAAACAATGACATCCTTGCAGGAAAAATGCAATTATGTCATATTGTCTTCAGAAAACATGTTGGTGTAGGAGGACCAATCCATGTATGTACTTGTAGGACTGTGCTGCATGTTGAGTTTAAGTCCCGTTTGCAGCCAATGTTTCCTTCCACCACCACCGTTAACTTTTCAGAGAAGAGTCAAGAAGGTTGGCCGTAAAGGGTTGGGTCATATGAGTGACTGTGTGTGACGCGAATCCTACATCTCAGCTACTTGTTGTGTGAAAGATTTGCCTGGTTTTTGAAAGAGCAATGAGGTGGAAACCTGTTTCCTTCAAAGTTGTCAGGTAAAAAAAAAAAAAATCCCGGCTTCAGCTTTTCCGGGGAGCGTACATTTGAGACGACCTCCCCAGCAGTATTTCTGCCAACACTTCCTGTCAGCTCCGACAGCGAGTTCTGTGAAAAGCTCGGGCGGGTCCACCTTTTAGTTCAACGCCCCCCCCCCCCTCCACGCCGTCTCCATACTTAATCAGTTTCTGTCTTATCGCCGAATTTTCTAGCTAATCGGCTGCTGTGCGACAGGCTGCCGCTGCTACCCGCTGTGTGAACTTCACGCGAGGCTGGTTGCTAGGAGCGCCGGGAGCGAGGCGGCTGATTCGTCAGCATTACTGTCACTCGGATGATCTGCGGCAGAGCGGAGTTTAGACAGCAGCTGTCGCCGAATCGCTGGTGGTGTTGCAGGCTTTGCTGATGAAAAACATCAAAGGGGAAAAATTGTCTTCCTGGGTGGCAAAAAGAAATTTAGCATGAGACGCATGAAAATTCAACAGCGCAGTCAAAGGGCCAAGAGGAAATGCAGATTGCAGGCATCACATTACTATTAATGCTGTTTACTTGAACTCCTGTGATGTTGCCACACTATACTCAAATCCACTAGTGATATGACCAGTGTAGTACGTCACCACATCAATCATTCTGCAGAAGAGTTTTTTGTGTTTTCAAATGGTAGGTATACAGTAATTTGCCTTGAAATCATATCTACTTCCTCCCATGGGATGTGAGGTTGAAATAATGCGATCCGTAGCTGAAGCCTTCTGAGGTTACTTGAATGTCATAACTCTATTTCAGCTGACCATCTGTATCGGAAACAGCAAATTAAATTGGTGAGCAAAGATGGAAATGAAAAGTGCTTCGCCGAAACTGCCCTGGCTCCATAGGAATCTCTCCAGATCAGCCGTTGGTATAACGGCAAGCTGCCGTAATTGGTCATCACCATCGTACCAGCCCTTGGTCTCCTTGGGTAGATGGCATTGTGGTGTGCACACTAGACCTCATGCTGTAAAGTATGCATAGTCAAGTGTTTTTATGCGCAGCGCAGTCAAGGCTGGCCGCAAGACAACATGAGGCCAGTCAAATGGATTGTGAGCTGACATCCCAGAGGAGCCCCTCTATGGCACCCTTGAGTCGTGTTAACTTAAATCCATCTTGCGTAAAAGCATGAAAGCGTGTGGTTGGTCTTGGGTGAGTGAGTATTGGATGAAGCTCAGAGCAATCTCTGTAAAATCGCGCTGCGTTTGCAGGTTGGGACGTGACTGTAAGTGTCTCTTCTTTAATTCCGTAGCCTGATAACCAGTGTATCTGTCATCCTGAGTTCAGTCTACGGTCATTTCCTTTTTGCAGGCTTTTCTTGTGTCACCTTCTCGTTTTCCTCATAAACAAGGTTAAGGTTCAGGTTTGCACTGGTGCATTGAATGCACTGGAATTCTGGCTCCAGATTCCTTCGTGATCTCCTAAGATCTCTTAATACCAGCTGTGTAATGATGCACTGATGGAATTTCAGATCAAACGTAGATAGGAAGGATCTCACCATCTAATTTGAAAGTTAAATCCAGTCTGAAAGGAAGTAAAGATACTTCCACTTTGATTTATTTGTGCCGTCCTGCGTTTTGCGTGTTAAGTACTGTGAACCCCTCCCCCTTGTCGCTGTGGTCCTGGGGGAACATTATTTCATGCGACTGTATACTTGTATATGGATGGGGTGACAACAAAGCCCACTTGAATTGACTTGAATTGACTTGAGGTGACTTGCGATGTCATACAGACACGATGGAGATATGGGGTCCGCTTCTGGGATCTGCACTGTCTGATGCGAAGCTGTATGCATCTCAGTTCAGGGATTAGGGAGGCCTGTGGGCTGCTCTGTGCCATAGGGCCCCCGTGACCTTTATCTGACCTTGTAATCTCCCACCCCACCCCCCGTTTCTGGCAGAGATCCGTGCCCAGCTGGTGGAGCAGCTGAAGTGCTTGGACCAGCAGTGCGAGCTGCGGGTGCAGCTCCTCCAGGACCTGCAGGACTTCTTCCGCAAGAAGGCCGAGATCGAGGTGGAGTACTCGCGCAACCTGGAGAAGCTGGCTGAGCGCTTCATGGCCAAGACGCGCAGCACCAAGGACCACCAGTTCAAGTAAGGAGGGCCCATTCAGACACAGCCACGTGCTGGATAAGCCGCACCAGCCCACAACTTTGGTGTCTGCTTGTAAAACGACTCATCATAAATGGTAGAAACCAATAATAGCAGACCTTTTAAAACTTGGTGTTTGCATCAGATGTCATTAGTTTGTTATAATTCATTCATCTTCTACCAGCTTATTCTGGTGTGGGTCATGGGGGGCCTGGAGCCTATCACGGGCAGCCACAAGGCTGAGGACACCCTGAATGGGATTCCAGTCCATCACCGGGCACATTAAAACACACACACACACACACAAGGAGGACATGCAGGCTCCACGGCGCTGCCCTCTGTTTGTTATAAGCAGTATCACGCTTGCCTGTTATGTTTTATTTTTTTATGGAGTGCGTCAGCTTGCTGCAATGTGCCGCAGAATATGGCTGACTGAACACCATATGTTTTGATTTGTAAGTCACCAAAGCAGAGCTTTAGCAATCTGTATATGCTGCAGAAGAGAAGTGAGGACCGGAGAACCTTATCCTGAATGGAAACACTTCCTGTTTACTGGGAAAGATACCCTTTATTTCTCATACATGGATATTAATTAGGTCAGAGGCTTTGAAGTAGGTAAAGTCTCTGGAAGATTATTTAGTCCATATGTACAGACCTACCTAATTATAGATTTTTTTTTTTTTGTTAACCCTTGATGGATCGCCAAATAAGCGTCTTGGTCTCTGAGACAAAACGTTTCTAATAATGAACAGATAAGAAATGTCTGGAACAGAAAGCGAACAGGTTTGCCTTTGTTTGCCGTTTTATAAGCCTGTGTTATGATTGGCTTTTTTGCCGGATCAGCACGACGCCGTGCGTGAGGGTGTGTGTATCCCTGTGTAAAAAACGGGCTTTTGGGGCCTGTACTTCACCCCACACCATTTACTTCTATTCTTCCCTCATCTTTTGAGCCTTTGCTGTCCACAGGCACAGCCAGGTGCCTCCGTTTCTGGCTGAAAGCTGTGCATCGGCCAGCTGCGTGATATTCCCTCCAAAAACACATGGGGAAATGTCTCACGTAATTATAGTTAATTCCTCTTGCCAGGCCCTTGACTGACTTAGGATGACTGTCATTCGGCGTCATCTTTACGACTTGTGGTGTCCGCTGGGCGCGTTCTTTCTGTGTGCTGAGGGGAGGTTCCTCGCTCTGTCCCCGAGCGCTCCGAGCTGCTCTCCTATAGGCTGAAGCTCCCCGCATCACATACTCAGCTCCCGCATCTGTGCCGGCCGGTAATCCTCACCAAACGCCCTTAAGCCCAGACACCCAGAGGGCTGTGGTGTGAACAGATCTGGCCTTGGGTGTTTATCTACCTTTTATCCACATATGATGTCTATGTATGATGTTGGAGCGTGTTCTGACGATCTGCCCAAACTCGTAACGAGACTGGCTCTGTGCTGTGGTGTCAGAGGCCCATCAAAAGACCCAGCTTAACACAGCGCTAAGATCTTTACCCGCTTAAATCCACAATCCACTTTTCTGTTTATTTTTGTCGTCCAGCCTGGCTGTTTCAGTGGAGGCCCAGGTTGCCGTGGGAAACAAAGTCAAGATTACGACGCCAGGAATAATGCATTCAGTTTGGCGCATTTTTTTTAAAAACGCAATCTTGGGTGTACATCTAGCTGCTAAGAGTTATTATTTTTGGCCCCAGGCTCATCCGTACAGTTGGTTTGAGTCTGCAAGCGTGTCTAAAATCCTCGCAAATACGGAGCCAACAGGAGGTGGTCCAGGACTTAGCGAAGTTGCATCTGTTTCCTTTGTGAGACATGGATCTTAGGCAGTAAGATAAGCTGCCTCTCTTTCTGCAAGCAGTTACTGGCCACCACGGCTATAGTTTGGCTGAACAGCTTCTATTTTATTACTGGAAAAAGTAACTGTGACCTTGGACATCACGTTGATTGGCGGGGGGGCGGTCCCGTCTGGCTTGATCCCTACTTTATTGTATTTCCGTCTTTTTTCCCCACATATTGCTCCTCTTCTTTCACTCCTGTCCAGCTCTGCCGCAGTAAACGCGCTCCCTCACTCAGCCATAACTCTGACACTGAAAGTAGGAACATGTGGGGGTTCCTGGGGAGGGCTTGCAGCCTCCAGGCCACCCCGACCCCCCAACCGTCTACCCCCCACTGGGAGAACATGGCTCCAGCAGACAGAATGCAGGCCTGCAGCTCTGAAAGGATCCATTCAGGCCCGGTTCCCTATCCCCACTACGTTTGACAGGAGGGGTATTTCAGAGAAATGGTGAAGTGTGCCCCCCCTGCGCGCTGTATGGAATTTCCCTCCACCCCCCACCATGAGTCCATTGTTTCTCTTACCCTCTGGTTGTTTTAGGATGGTCTACAGGTCTTGATTCTCTTTCTATGGGTCTATTAACATACACAAGCTCCGACGGCTGGACCGCATTGGTAGTTGGGGAATTTGCGGTGGGGCAAAGCTGGGTCCTCTCAATATTCTACAACCCCAGCCACCTGCCCCTGGGCATATGCACCGCAGGGGGCCTGCATGTTCCCCGGATGCCGCATGTGCAGCACACACAATGCAAAGAATTTAGGGATTGCGTTCTTTCTGCGGGCCTTCAGTTTGCCCACCCCCTTGTCAAGTATTTAGCAGCGGAGAGCGTGTGGGGGGGGGGTTCGGTGTTTTTGCCCTTTATTGGTTAGTGACGTGGCCACAATGGCCTTCAGTGACTGGGGGCTTGCCAGGCCTTAACTCCTGCTAAGCAGCACGGTGAAGTCCAGCCCGCCTTTGATCCTCCTGGTCAGAGGGGCCTCCTGAGAATCCGTGCTGAGGGCAGGCCAGCACTGAATGGGGTCTGCTGAAGTCCCCTCCCCAGAATTATCCTTGTCCCCCCACCCCTCGCTTTCACCCTGGTTTCATTCTACTGGAATTTGTCAAATAAAATCAGTTTCACAAGGACAGTGACAAAGCTGGACAGCCCACTTGCATAAAGGCTGTTCTGTTGGTCTTTGTGCTTCAAGGGACAGATGACACATGCAGAGATAAAGCCAGTTGTCGGAGGTGCTGCATGGTATGTAAAACCTTTGTAGAGCGATACAGTCCCCGGCAGAAGAACCAGCCATGAAATTTGACCCCTCTCTCACGGTATCTGTGTTGAACTCCAGAAAAACCCTGCCAGAGGGCACCATGAATAAACAAGTAAAATGCCTCGGAAAGGTACAGTCGCACCCCAACCGGCAGCTGAGCAGAAGTGACACACGGATCAGTCCTTTGTTTAGGTCTGGGAGCTAGAGGAAGCTTGTTTTATTTATTTAGAAAATAACCTAAATTACATCTCTTACCAACTGAGCTGTCCATTGCAAATTAAACGATTCAGTCTTCTCCCCTCCCAGGATGCTTATTCCAAGGTTCCAGATTTCAGGGACCCTACTTTATTCTATTATAACAGTTGGTGAGTTGGGACCATAGGACAGAACTGCTCTTTCTCTTAGTCGTGGTGACCTCGGACTCATCAAAACAGCCTGAGGATGCTGCTTGACCCAGACTGATTTGTTTCCAGAGTGAGGTGCTTCTCGCTGCAGTGATGCCCTTGGACCCAACATCCTCCTTTCATGTTGGTCTTGTCTTCTAATGCCACAGTTGGTACATCTGTCCACACTCAACAAGCTGCTATGGGTTGCAACAGAACCTTGTGTTCGAATCTCCTGTCACGTTCACTTGCAGTTTCTGGGAGCAGTGTCTTCACTGTGCAGCCCTGCTGCGTCTCCCTGATCAAAGCAGGGTCTCTCGATTTTACTTTTTCCAAGCACACTGTACCTGCCATAGCTCAATTCCCGTGTCTTGAGTAAGGAGGGTTTGGTTTTTTTTTGTTGTTCTTCGCCTCCCTCATAGGAATGTCACCATGGCATGAAAGGCATTTCATTCGTTTTCCATCATTTTCCATCCTTCTTGGAATGCTGTTTTCATAGGTGTGAAACTCCGAGAGCACGTGTCATGGTTCCCGCATTACTGAACGAGCTTCTGACATGCCCATGAGCGAATAACATCCTGAAACGGCTTTTCTCTGCACTGATTCAGTAAAAAATGTTGAGATCTCCATTGTACTTCTCCATTCTCCAGCCTTTGTGGCCAATAGGGACGACCATGCGACTTCCAACATATTCATCATTCATTGGTCCATTTTATGAACACGTGACCATGCCTTTGTCCTGGCACTAGTGACTGTATGCTGGAGTCGTTCTCCAAACTCAATTGTGCAGTACTTCCACCCAAGCGTTTGCATGCGCAGACCAAAGCTACTTACTTTGGATTTCCAGAGTGAGAGGGGTGTAAAGTTACAACAAATCTCGTTCCGCACTGTATTTCATCGGTTGAAGCAAGCTTTGAAATTAAATGGTTTGTGCTATAGGGTGTTTTTGCTATTATTTGCATTCGATCTGTACAGGCAAGCAGAAGGCTCCAATGCATGCATCCTGCGTGCAGTTTAAAGCGTACCAATACTTATGTTGACCCTTTGTTTGTAGTACAGTAGCCTTGCTGTATAAACATCTGGTTACGTCATGCAATACAGCAGTAAAAACGAACTCCAGCATATTAATTTCCCCTCAACTGTAGGCCAGATTTAAGACCTTTAGATGTAAGAATGAGACATTGAAAAAATATTTATATTAACATTATTGATGAGGTGCTGGAAATGGGAGATGAAATATATTTTGATTGGCATAGCGAACAGCCATTTTGAATCTTAACGTCTTAATATCTAGTTGCCTCTTGGACAGTATATGGTGTTGGAATCTTCCAGCAAGTCCTCGGCAGGGAGCTGGACCCCCCCCCCCCTCGACAACAGCACAGTGTCCTTCAGTGTCCCTGATGTAGCTAGTCTCGTTCCAGGTCTAGGAGGCCTAGCTTATTCCCAGTGTAGCACTGGGATGAGCTGCTCCGTTTTTTCTAAGCATTGTGTTCCTCTGTTTTTGTTTCTGCTAATTTCTGCTGTCCACTCGCATACAGCTGTTTGGGCCGCTGTCTTCAGAATGTCTAATGTGAGTAATCAATCTATAAAATGAGCATCACCTCTAGGGGGCGTATCAGCAGCATGATGGATTACAGTTCACGCAGTTTCACATCTGCTAGGAGGAGGAACTTAGCTTTAGTACTCTGGATGTGTCCTGTGCTTGATTTATTGAAGGATAAAATGTGTATTTAGAAGCAGCAAAACAGACGGTGGACTCAACTGAAACAGGATGTGCTCAGTGATGCGTTCATAGCAATTACATAGTTCGGTGTGTTTATTTGTACTAATTAATGAAAATAATTATGACAGTGCTTGTTGGTGATGGGCATGGTCATGTTCGCATTACTCGCCATGGGTACGGTGTGTAGTTTGCTTCTCTGGGTGGCTGAAACAACGGTACGGATGTCCAGGACGTCGGGCTGGTTTATCTCCGTCCAAGTGGCGGGAGCCCAGCCAGTGAGAACCATCTAGAAACATGACCCTATAAGCCCTCGCACCCGGAACCCCTGCACCCAGCCTCCCTCCCACCGGACCTCCAGGCCACTTGGCACAGTAACCAGAATGGGCTTTGTTTTTTTTAGGTCCCCACTATGTCGGATGGCTGTATGTGTGCCAGCGCCGCTGATCCCTGTGTGTTTGCCCCCCTCCCCACAGGAAAGAGCAGACCGTCCTGTCACCAGTGACCTGCTGGAACCTGCTGCTGAGCCAGGTGAAGAGGGAGAGCCGGGATCATGCTACACTCAGCGACCTCTACCTCAATAACATCATCCCACGCTTTGCACAGGTCAGCGAGGACTCTGGGCGCCTCTTCAAGAAGGTGAGTACCTGTCCATGCCCACCAGACACGCCTCTCCCTCTGAGCCACGTCCAGTGGTCACGCCCCACCGATTCTCCCTGATGCAACATCGAACCATCATCTGTATCGTCTTGCAGAAGCCCCCCAGCAAACCCTATTGCTGTTCTGCTGACATGTTCTGGAAGATTCATTACTCACGTACGCCTCCTAAAGTGCTATGTGGTGGGGTAGGGGGTGTGGTTCCCAGCCAGCCATCTGCAGAGAGAGCATGTGACAGGATGTGCTGAGTGAGTTTGTCATGGGCTTTGCTCGTACACTTTAGCTGGAAGCCTGTCGGGCGTGTCGAGGGTCCACGCTTCCTGCTGTCTCCAGTAAGCAGGTGGAGAGGTGCCCTTCCTGCCACCCTGCAGTCCCTGTCAGTGCAGTGACCCGTCACAGACACAGACCCGTTGCACTTTCTGGACTGCTTTTTCAGCGAATGCTGACTCATTTATATTGTGATTCTCTATTGTAAAATCAAAACAAATTTAAAGAGTACTCAGTACACAAATAGAATATCCTGAAAGAATACTGTATTGTTATAGAAATAAATATTTACAATTAATAATAATAATAATGATAATAAATTAGTGATTGTGATACAGATATCAGCAGCACCAGATTTTCTATTATAACAAAGATTTTCTGCTTCCTGACATGTTGTGGCTGGGTGGGGCGGCACGTCGGGGGGAGGTGCTGGGTTGTCTGATGGCAGCAGGCAGCAAGGATCCCCAGTAGGGTGTTTCAACTCACCATGGTGGAAGGAGCCAGTGACTGAATGTGCACCAAAACAGCACCCCCAGGAGGAGATGGACTGAAGTGTTACGTGCACAAAAGTGACAGTGAATGTTTGCCTGGCTGTTTCACGTATTCAGTGGCAGCATGCATTCTGTTTATCGATTTATAATCTTGTAAGCTTCTACGTAGTTGCTGCTCTGCCTCCGTATTCCTTCTGTAATGCCGTTACGTTTGATGGACGTCATACACAGATTGCTGAGCTCAGAGCTCTAATCTGCCGGAATGCTTTTTCATTTACTTGAATCACTCCTTAGTTTTTCCACTCTGCATTCTGACCTCGATCGGCAGAAGGGGCTGTCAGGATTGCTGGGCAGGTGATCGGACTGTACCACCTCCCATTGACTTGGGGGGGGGGGGGCTTATGGATCTTTGGTATAGTGTTCAGGATACGGTCCGGAGGGTTAGGAGTCGGGGAGCTGCCAGTCAGCAGGTCTTGATCTGGTTGGAAACGGCCAGGTGGCCTTTCGAGTGACTCTACTCACCTCGAAGGACTCCTATCCTTGGGTGACATGTCTCCTGGGTTATAAGTCAGGTGCCCTGCGGAGAAGCTGGGGCCCCCCTCATTTTAATGAAGTCACCCCCATTCCTGTTAGCATCCCAAACTCGCCTCGTTATTTATATTTGTCACGTCATTAAAGAAAATGATGCATTTCTCCATCCGGCACCGACTTCCAGGCAGACAGCCACTGACAGCCGCCGTGATTCCGCTGACTCCCACATAACTGTCGCTGTTTCTCAGGAGTCATTTATCCGATTTCATTTCCTCTGGGCTAAACAGTCTCCCCCCCAGAATCGTGTCACTCTGCCTGCGGCTGAAGCTCTGCCCTAATAACCTCTGCCCGCTTTAACACCCGCATGCCAGGAAGTTTGCTAACCACCTTAATTTTGAGTGTTCCTCTTTTTCGTTGGGTTCCTGTGCCCATCAGAACTCCTAAAGATGCACGCTATATATATATATATATATATATATATATATATATATATATATACACACACACCAATGATCATTAAAAATCAAGATGTTGGTATCAGTTTGTGTCAATCTTGGCCCCTATTTAAACAATATTAGTATTCAAGGATAGCAATCTAAGACTAAACTGATTGCAATAGACGATCAACCATTTTCTGGAGTGAAGGACGAGGGATTTCATAGGCTTATTCACCTGTTGGAGGTCAGCGCACAAGTCATAAAAAATGTATAAAATTGAGTTTCCTCTTGTGGGGACCAGAGAAATGTCCCAACAAGTTCAAAATAACAGGTTTTTTTTTTATCACATTATGGGGACATTTAGTGCTAACAGTGTAATATCTACATGCCCACAGACTCAGGCACACACAGCCTTAGTGATCAGAGCCCACGACTAGGAAGAGATTCCTCTGTCCTGCAGCTCGTCTGAACACTGGGCTCTGACTGACCTTCGGCTCTTTCCTTCATTACCCAGTGACACATGGCCTCATACTTTAAGAACCTCAAAAAGAAACAAAATGAAAAAGTGCGAAAGCTGAGAGAGGAAAACCGCAGGGCGGTCCGTAAGCTCATAAAGCCGGCAGCCCAGTCTCCCTAACCACAATTTTATACTGGGCTGGGGGGTGGGGGTGAGGGTGGGGGGATTAATGCGCGCCTAGTGTGTCCTGCTCCCTCTGCCCTCCCCGCTTTATCTGTGTTAGGAAAATCTGACGCGGGATGAAAGCTCTTTGATAGTGACACAGGCGTCTGTTAGGCGGTGAAAAGACGAGTAGGAGTCGTCCCCCACAAGAGGCGGATTAAAGTGGCGGCCTGTCTGAACAGCGTCCCCTGTGGCTGCCAGTGGCATTACCGGTGGAGTAAAAGATCAGCTCTGCCTTAAAGCCAAGCACCAACATCTGTCCTTGTATTCAGCGAGCGAGGCTTTTTTTTTTTTTTTTTTTGGCAGGATTTGGCTTACTGCTGTCCCGAATAGTTTGGCTGCCCGGAACTTCACCGTGCCGGTGATCTGTGCCTCTCTTTTTGGAATACACCTAATTTTTCACTTCATATTCCTGTTCTGGTCTTAATTCCCGGGATGAAATGTCACTCTCACCGGCATCTCAGCCAAGCTCAATTTGTGGGCCTTCCTGGGATGTCAATTGCTGGGCTGTTCTTGTTGTCACTCCCCCTGGCGGCTGTGTCTCTCCCGTGCCCTTGCCGCTCACCCAGAGCAGATGGCACTGTCAAAGCTGCTCCTCTGGGTCCCGTCCAAGAGCAGAGGGATCGATTTCATCCACGGCGGACTTGGCTGAAGCGCGTCCCACAGTGAAGGCCGCCGTCAGTACAAGTAAATGAAAAGTCTGGTGGGGACGTACTACTCGGGTTCTGTTTGGCGGGACTATACCCAAGGAATCAGGCTGCATTTGGCGGGACTGTACCTAACATGTGAGGCTGGGGGTGCAGCTGTTGCTCCTTGAGGCCCTGACTGGGACACGTTTGGGCATATTTAGTTTTTTCCGTGGCTAAAGCAGGAAATACAAGCCATTATCAGGAGCTCAGCTACCTCTTAAAACCTGTTAAAATATCAGTGACAACTTCCTGATTGTTAGTTTTCCCTAAAAAAGGCAGATCGGTGGAACCAGCAGGTGACTGACAACTGCTTTGGATTTTAAAATGGCTGGAAAGTTCATGTGGAAAATGATTCCTTATCAGTGTTCTGTTTTTTGCAGTCAAGCAGCAGGATGCCAAGGAAAGATCTGGTTATTTAACTGTGTCTATAAATCATTGCCAGTTTTAACCTGCCCAGACGCAGACATTTCTTTTGCTGTAATGTGGTAGGAAGCTCAGTCTAGCTGCACGTAAGAATGTCCAGGTAAGTGTAAGCAGTACTGGAGCCAGAGCTACTCAACTATCTTCCAAACAAAGCAAGAAACCAATAATAAAAATATTCAATCAGGAGAAAGTGCTTCACTAAAAGCACCGAGGGGGCATGGGGAGTGGTATCTGGCTAGTAGGGGTGTTCCTGCGGAAGGCGGAGAGCGAGTCTGATGACCGGATTGGTTTGGCAGCTCATTCCACCATCGGGGAACCACATATGAGAAACGTCTGGAGTGAGACCTCTCGCTTGGTGGAGGAAAATGCATGCCTATAGATTGTGTGTATGATTGGCTTAAGCTTTCATGGGATCTGCGGGGTCGTAAATGAATGTGCTGGTCCGTAATTCCTTTTAAAACAAAGTAATTCCATTTTCTGACCGAAGACTCATGGATGCTGAGAAAGTCGTCTGAGGATTGGGCAGGTGGGCGGTAGTCTGGGTTTTACATTTTTACTGGTTCCAGCTGGATACCAGTAGATGCGGTGAGCAGCCTAAGTTGAGGGAGTCTAGAAAATGAATTGCTGTAATGATTGTCACCTGTACATTAATTTCCTCATTCCTGGTTTCCCAGCCATGGCAATAAAGTGCTGTTCCCAAGTACCTGCTGGTTTATGTACAATATCAAGGCAATACTCTCCAACCAAACCACCAGAGGTACCATGAAAGCCCCCCCCCACTAATTGTTTTCAAATTAGCATTGCTTTCGCTTTCCTGTCTGTGGCAGGCAATGTTCAGTGGCCAGATAGCTTCACAGATCAATTAAGAAGCTCCGCAGATCAATTAAGAAGCTCATTTGTTTCATTCGAAACCTGTCTGGAGCACTTGATATTCTCCACTGATAGGGCCTAAGTAAATGATGCTGAATAAGACATCTTCCTCTTCCTCTGTGTGGACAGTGACACAGCAGGGATCAGCGTCTCCTTACCGTGATGTGGGGGCGCGTGAGAGAGGACTGGGCTTTGGCTGTCTTCCTGGCAATCGATCACAGGCACCTACAGTTAATAGAATCCAGCTGGCCCTGCTTGGACTAAGTGACTTGTTCAGGCTGTAAGTGGAGTCGGCCGGGTAGATCTTTGAGGGGCTTTGCTGAAGCGTGAAGATTGTGTGGACACCCATCCAGTTGTATGTACCATGTTTTCGCCAAGGCTGTACAGTCTAGCGGGTAATCAAGGGTCACGGTTTCCTAACATATATTGTCCCTGAATCATGTATGGGCGATAATATGCATTTGAATCTTTAAAAAATAATCATGCCAATTCATTTGTGAAACTAACTGAATAATTAAGTTACTTCCTAGCAACTGATTATGTCACTGTAATACAAGAATCTAGTCTATGAATTAATAATTATGAAAATGTGACAATTTTCAGATGTTAATACAACAGCTTTTTACTTGAAGTAGCGACATCTCTGGGGTATCAGACGGCAGCAGCGCACATGGGGATACTGTAGTGACCCAAGTTTGCTTGGCTGGTGGTGGAAGGTCAGAGGTCCTCCACTGATTTTCTCCAAGTGACATGGCATACGATTTGGCTGGCTATTTTTTAAAAGTTGAGTCTTGAAAGTAGGCCATGGGAAGCGGCGATTTTGCATCTGTTTTCATGCACTTCTGAGTTATTCATCAGTGTAATTCTGTCTGCAGGATAATACTAGTTCTGGATCTTGATTTTAATTCATAAGCTTTAGACCCAGATTATCTTACTTATAATAAGCTGCAGTACCCAGATGAATGTTTCTGCTTCAAGTCCCAAAAACAGCAGCTGCTTCAGTATTTATTTGGAGTGATAGCATTCTTAATTAACTGTTGAATTGATGGGTGCTGATCATGACCATAAACTTTTGTCTCTAGCTGGTGAACAGAGGTGGTAAACGGTCAACTTGCCCACACAGGAGTGATGAGCCATTTAAATTGGAAATTGGGGAGCATAACTGGAATTATTCTGGGCACTTGAAGCAGCATTTTGCTGCATATCTGAATGCCTGAAGGCCTGACATCTGGCAACTATCAGCAGAGCTGAATGTTTAATATCCGTTATAAACAAAGGCTGTACGTTTTGGACCTGCTGGCCAGTGCATTGCGGAGCTGAACTGATATGAACAGGAAGTGAGATTCGGTCAGACGCTCCACAGGCTCTCGCGGTTTCAGGGCGTTTACAGCAACGGTGCCCATTGGCTCCTGAGTGATAAGCCCGTCTCGCTACAGTGTTGGATGGCTTTTTGGAGGTGCGGCGAGGGGTCCATCATCCAGCCAGCAGCGGTGTCGCACCGATAAATCACTGGCGGAGACTCTCGAGAACTGCAGACACACATGAGCCCGGGCGCCGCCGCTCCTGTCCGCCGGGGGCTAATTATTTATGCTGGCCCCTCCCCCAAGGCGCTCGCCGGCCTTGATGAAACGCGTCAGGCTGTGGTAATTTATGGCCCGTGCAGAGACCCCCCCCGGGGGGCTCATTGCCATAGCCATCCATCTAGCTCTCCTTTCACCTTCAAAGGGTTAACAGAGATTGGGTTTGGCTCGAACCACGGGCCGAGGGACCATATGGTTTCTGTATTTGTGAAATCTTCCTTTTGCAAGGAGGCTCTGTTCCCAGAGGTCAGGGAAACTTGATCTCTTGTGTGATGGGGGTAAGCGGTTGAGTTTGGGTGTGTTTCAGTTGCAGGTGGAGGAGGGGCAGGTGTGGGCTTGTGCCCAAGGCTGAAAGGACATGGGTTCGAATACTGTGGCCGGCAGAGTAATCATAACACTGCTGGCCCCTTGTACAAGGCCTTTAACCCCACCTGCTAGGAGTCTGACCCTGCACTCCGACCCAAAGCTCCTCATTTGAACTAAAGAATCTGCTGAACTAATGTAAATCTAGCTGCAATGACTCTGGGAAGCTGTTTTTCAGAGAGAGACTACATTATATCTCTATTTTATGACTCATACATCTTTCCTTAAATAGCTTTCTCCTTGGCCCAATGCCCTGGCTGAAGATTCTGTGTGAGCTGAACAGGTAGTAGTACACAAACTGGCGAATCGTTCTAGACGTTCCAGTATGTGGTCCTGTATCCTCCTTCATCTCAATAGAAGAAAAAACGTACATGCTGGACCGTTGTGGAGGTGGCTTCGGGAAACAGGAAAAAGTTTTGGGATCTTGCCTTTGCCCTGGATGACCTCGGTCTCAGTGATTCATAACACCCCCAGATTTCCCATCATCCTCAGCGTTCAGCGCCATCACTTGAGCAGGCTGTTCAGACCCTGGTGTTATTCTGCAGCAGAGAGTGACCAGACTCTAATCCTCACCCGCCTGTTTTTTGTTTTTTTTTTCTCCCAGAGTAAAGAGATCGGCGTCCAGCTGCAGGAAGACTTGATCAAGGTCCTCAACGAGCTTTACACGGTAGGTTCCTCCTCCTCTTCCTCTCCAGCCAGTGGTGTGTTTGCAGGAGTGTGGGAATGATTGACAGTCCCGTGGGTGAGAGGAGGCCCCCAGGCTCCTGGATTGGGCCCCTGCGCTCTTGGTTGCCAGAGCGATAAACTTCTCATTATGGGCTGCCAGTGGAGCTTTCCGTAGAGGTTTTCTGCAGCCTTCCGTCTTGCATGTCCACCTACTGGGTCTCGTTGCCATTTATGCAGTGTTGGGTCTGGGCGATTTTTTTAGTTCAGCTTTGTCTCTCGTAGATTCTGGGATGTCTCCTAAAGTTCAAGCAGCTCGACTGTATAAGGACACTGGTTATGAGTATGAGTGTGTGTGATGGGCAGGTCTTTCTCCACTCTATTTAGTGCTACACTTTTCACTAATGATGCAGGAATGCATTTAAGATTTTTTCTGGAAGCTAGGAAAGACACGCCACCCCCCCCATTCCATATGGACTGTCGAGGCAGCCTGCAGCAGGTCCCACACAGTGCAGCGTGATGCTGAGGGAGATAATTGGTGTGCATCGTTAAAATATAACGTGTGTATCAGCAGCTCGGCGTGTCTGTGTGCCCTGCTCGCTCTATTTTGACTTGTTCGCTGACATTTTCCTCCTTGCGGTTAATATAATGTAAACCGCCATTAGTTTTAATTGCTCTTGATGTTAACTTGCGTGTTATGGCTCAGTTCAAACAACTATATAAACAGATAATTATACCACCCCCCCCCCCTTGGTGATTAAAACGTGTTAGTATGTTTTCTCAAAGTAATTATACATCGCCGTGCATGGTCTGTGTGCCTAAACCTTGCCTATTCCCCACAAACATTCTGGGTGCAGGGTTGTTGTGGTTTTACTCGTGTGTGTGTGTGTGTATATATACATTATTCAGTATGTCATTCTAATTGATGTATCCGAGATGCTGAGCACTGCGATTTAGAAAGCTAGCCTAGTTATTGGCTGGTTAAATTCGTTGGAGGCAGTTGAGTTGGTTCATCGGCTGCTTGAAAAGGCATAAAGACTGCTGGAGTGTATCTGACTAACATCATAATTAGGTTTCTAGGTTTGGTAGCCTGGGTTAACAACATAAGAATATTCAGCATTTCTCCCCTCATTTGGTTTTGCTTATGTGTGAGTCAGTGTATGGATGTAGAGAAATCAATGAGCTCATCCTCCAAACTTCCTGATGGGTTAGAAGGGGATCTCTGATGAACCCCCATCTGGAGTCTGAGGCAGCATGACGCCTGCGGAGTCCGGTGCTGGAGCTTTCGGTGCTGAGGTGGGCCTCTCCTCCCCCCATGAAATGACTGGCTGGCATCAGCCGAGCATCTTGGTGGCAGAATAATAACATGGCGGAGTAGAACTGGGGAGCCCAAGCAGGCAGCCCACAGTACAGATTCTGGGGGGAGGGGCAGAGCGCGATGCCACTAATTAAGGGGATGCCAGTGGAAAGGCAGCCATTTTGATCAGTCTCTATGTTTTATTTATGAAAAGGAATCACAGATGCTCTCTCCAGCACAGTCCTTTTATCTCTGCGTTTGTGATGTTAGCTGGTTTAGGAGACACCAAAGGCCCTGTGTTTTTGTGTTTATCTAGTATACTCAGTACTTTGTGAGGCCAGATCATCTCATCCATTCATTAAAGAGGTTGTTCTCTCATTGTTTAAGTTCACTGGAATGCTGTCCTACATTTCCATAGGAAATTGCCTTGCAGTGCAAACGAATTGTGCTCCGCCGACGTGGGGACAGGGGTAACCACGTTCTGGCCAGTTAAAGAACATCCTGGACAGTGATGATGTCATCTTCCCCGATGAGCTAGTGGGCCATCTCAGGGAGATTTTTCTACTCCAGTTTGCTTTTTGAGTCTATGCAATGATACCAGTGGATTCAGTGCTGAAGTATATTTTTATCTATTTAGTGCTTCTCTGATCGTCCATATGATTTATCTCTTGTCAGTTTCTCTTAAGACTAAATGCCCACATCGTGATTATCTCTATGAACACAAGGGCTCCTCTTTCTAGTTTTCAGTTTCCCATTAATCCTGTGCCCTGTAAAAAGTAGCTAAGGGTAAGTCTCTCTGGGGACCTGGATGCAGCTTCCGTACCCTGGCTGTGTAAGCGGCATTCGGGTCGGCTTTCATTACTGTCAAGGTAGAATCCCAGTTTGGCTTAAACAAAAAATTGTACTTGAGAAAACAAATTGCGGTTTGAAGGTGAGTCTTCTCCCTTCTTTCCTGGGGGAGCACTGTGTTCACTCAAGCTTAGCTTTTTTGCTCTGTAGGCCAATTATGTAGATTAATTAAGTTGACCAAGTATGTAAATGCTTAATTTGTCTCGTTTTTAATAAATGAAAGGATACACCACTCAACATATTACTTTTAGAAACTGTAGATTACATTTTCTCTTTAATTAGATTAATTGGTTTGGGTGAGAATAGCCTGTCTGGTAGGCAGAGATTTAAAGAAGCTGAGAGACACATTTCTGATTAGCATTTAGCTAAAGTGCCATCTTGCTACAGGATGCTGTATGCAGCCCGACACGTTTTAATATAAATATTTAATATACCAGTTACGTTGCCTATTCATCTGTCCCCTATAATAATAATAATAATAATAATAATAATTATTATTATTATTATTATTAATACTGTGACCCTGTGATGGATGGATGGATGGATGGATAGATATATTATTGAAGTGTCTCAATTAAGCACTAATTTCTCACTAAGTGATGCTTCACCCCCAGTGGTTTCCTGACCATATGAATGTAGTCTGGATGTAGCTCCTTCCAGCGGGATTCCGTGGGAAATGCTGCAGCCTTTTCTAGCCTTTTCTAGCATGTCCTGAATAGCGTTTCTCATGGGATGTACTGCTCCCTCGTGGTGCCCTGGGCACGTCCCGTTGGAGATTACTGCTTTTATTATGGTCAGAGTAAAGAGAGAAAATGGCCTCACAGGGCTGACAGTATAACTATACCAGGGTAAAGAGCGATGCTGAACGGAGCGGAAGGATCCGGGGAGATTATGTCAGTTGGGAAGTGGGACAGGCTCCTGGTTGGCACCTAGTAACGGTCCACACCGTTTCCATGGGGACCCAGTGCAGTACAACAAAGTGTCTTTGCCCCATTAAACGTATATACAGGAAATGCACTGTGTGAAGGACTCTGGAGATGGCTTAGACACGTTTGGCCTCAAGTCAGATGTTTAAAGATAAAAAATTAGCATCTCATTCATGCATTCATGTGGGGTAAACTAATGCCAGTGGGGTGTCTGTTAAGCTCGTCGTCGTCGTCGGATTTTATTAGTAATCAGCGTTTATAATAAAGCAACTAAAATGAATTTTTGAATGTAAATTTGTATTTTGCATTTCCGTTTGTAGCAGAGGCCCTTGTATGGTTTGAGCAGCAGGTGGTACCTTGAGGTGGTAATGTGAGTCCCTGTGGATGTGAGTCCCTGTGGATGTGAGTCCCTGTGGATGTGAGTCCCTGTGCTCCTCTACGTGTCCAAGCAGTAATCTTAAGCTGCTTCAGGTCCACCCTCCGTAATCAGGCTGAATCCGGGAGGATGTGAGTTCTGAATCCAAGTTCGCCGAAGGATATTCCAGCATGTTCTTTCTCAGTATTAGTGGGGTGGAGGGGTTGGTAATTAGTCTGAGGATTTTGTGTTTGAATTGGGCAAGTGTCACACAGCATTACTGCTGGAGTGTGCACGTGGAGCGGTTTTTAAATCCCTCATTTGCCCCTACATTTTTATAAATCCTCAGTCTGTTGGGTCCAGCTTTGGAATGACGCTGTAGCAGCCAGCCGTCTGTCTGTCAGAGGTTTACTGCGTGCATGAATGAACAGATCAGTATCTCTAGCTGTGCTTAAATTCCACATTTTAAAGTATGTGAAATATGTGCATGTGATATTTCTGCTCAAGGTGTTTACTAGGTTTAAAAAAAAAAAAACAAATGTTCACCCTTCAGACTGCATGAAATGATGTTCTGTCAGTTGTGGGGTCAAAGGTCACCAGTGTCGGAAAACCTCACCAGGGGGATGCCAATGATCATGGCATGACTGTCTGGAGTAATCAGACTGGTCTCTCTTAGAATATTCAGCACCTTTTATAAAACGAGGTGTGTTTGGAAAGTTGGGTTCAGAAGGACACATGGTATTCTGTATACTGGTGTGCTTTTTATACAGCGCTGCCTGCGGTTCACGAACACAATCCATTCCAGGAAAGTGGTCGTGAACCAATTTGTATGCGAACCAAGGCAATTTTTCCCATAAGAAACCAAGGAAATTCAATTAACGCATTCACAAGCCTACCAAATAATGGGTTTTGTTAATAAATTTTCTGGGTTTTATAGTAAAAACTTTAAAGGAAAAACACAATGTAGTGACGGGTGGACCGAGGCATCGCAGGAGTAGAGAGAGACATGGAGACTTGCTTGCCAAGTTTTTATTGACAGTACTTAACCCTTGTGTTGTAGTTGTTGGTAATGTTAATGGCTGCATCTCGCTATTGTTGCGTGTGTGTTGCCCCTGTCTTTGTACCCGGTCCGATTCTTGCGTGCATTTCTTGCACCTTCTGCATCTTGCAGTTCGGCGTCTGACAACTTTGTGTTTCCCGTCTGTATTTGGGGTCGGTGCTCATTGGGTGCCTGTTGTGGTTCTCCTATTTACAATTACACATGGGGCATGCTGGGACATGCGCCCCGCCGGTGCTACACTAGTGTAAAAAAAGGAATCTGGTCGAGGAATCTGTTCGTCAACCAAATTTTGTATGTGAACTAATGCATTTTTTTTTTTCATGAAATTTTTGGTTGTGAACCAAATTGTTTGTAAGCCACAGCGTTCGTGAACCGCAGGGACCACTGCAATTCACTTTAATCGACTGTTACTAATGAGTTACTAAAGTGGTTGACAGTGTCACTTAGTAATATGATCACTGTGGCATCCCAGGCTGGCAGGCTTCCTCCTGTATGGCTGATGTCTTCCAGAATATTCCGTATGCCGGGTTCATGTCGAAGACTCGCATTGTCCTAACGTACATGGTAGCTTTCCTGTGACCCTTTCGCATGACAGGATGTTGCACACCATGCTGGATGAGGGGGTGGGAGAGGCTCAGGAGGACTGTCTCGTTTTGGAGAGCATGCAGCATAGTGGTTATTGACAGCATCTAGAATCTGGTGTGGTGGCTTAGCCAGTAACACTCACACCTCCAGGTGTGTGCATGTTCTCTCCATGCCACTCGGTGTCCTCTGGGCACACTGCCTCCTGCAGGCCACAGTCGTGCAGGTAGGCTAACTGGCATCCTGTCCTGGGTGTCCCACCTTGTACTTTTTAGGATGAAGTCCGGCCTTTGTGTGACCCTGACATGAAAGATGGGAATTATTATGTAAATAAAAGCACCAGGACATGGATTAAACAGCAGCCTGCTGAGTTGTGTGCCGGGTAAGAACCCTATGCTGCACCCCATGTCCCCCCTGCAGGTAATGAAGACCTACCACATGTACAACACGGACAGCATCAACGCCGAGAGCAAGCTGAAGGAGGCGGAGAAGCAGGAGGAGAAGCAGATGAGCCGCTCCGTGAAACAGGACGAGCGGCAGACACCTCGCTCCCCTGACGCGCTGGCCACCATCAAGGCCGAGGAGAAGCACGTTCGCCGCAGCTCCGTCAAGAAGATCGAGAAGATGAAGGAGAAGGTGAGGCTGACCTTGTCGGCCGTCAGGGTCAGCATCTGGGCACATGTAGGTTACAGGTGCTGGCTCTATATGAAGTGTC